TTCCTATTTATCTTTATGCACCCAGTGCTTAAGGTTCCATTTTGCCCATAGAATGTACTCATTTCCACCTCCTCTAGTATCTCTGCTCTTTATCTCTGCAGAGAGAGTAATGTTTTTCTCCTTTAACATTTGGCTAAAAGGCATTTTCTCCACTAAAGTTTCCCTGATTACACTCACTTCACTCTAATCAATCCTTCATTTTATGGGTATTATGTCCTCAGCGTTTGTGGAGGGCTCCTCCAACAAACATGTTTGTGCTTTAATGGGTTAGACTCCATTCCTTCTTTTAGCTCAACCACCCTAAAACCTTTAAGGATCATCTGCTGAAATCATTCATAGCAGTGATTTTTAACATTAATTTCTTTTGAAAGGCCTGTTTTTTTACGCATGGAGAAGCAGTCAGACATCTATTATGTAGACTCCATGACTCTTGCCCTTCTCAAGCCAAATATCCTTCCTGTGAGCAATAGGAGCAGAAAGGGCAGAACACCACTGCACTTAACACTGAACTCTGAAGAGAAAGATTTCCAACCTAATCAAGAGCAGGACCCTGTGTCTACTTAAATATCAACAACAACTAGCCAGCCTTGTGATGGGCATCTGTAGTTCCAGCTATTGGGGCAGCTGAGGCAGGTGATTGAGGTTGCTGTGAGATATGTGATGCTACCACACCCCACCCAGTGCACTCTACCCAGGTCAGAGTCACACACACACACACACACACACACACACACACAAATAAAAAACAAAAATAAAAGGAGCGAGAAAGAAAGACTTCCAAAAGTGTTGGAAGCTAAGACCTATGGGCAAGACAAAATGTTGACATTTCCCAAACTAAGAAATGCCTCCCCCACCTCTTCTAATTCATCTCCTTTCTCTCTTCTTTCTGCTAAACTTGAGAAGTGCCAGAAGGAAATCTAACTACCCATGCAGCCTCTGGGATGGATTACCCCACTGTACCACAGCAGTTCTGGAGAGGCACAAAAGAAGGTGGTACACAAAATACCCAAGAAAGTGCTTTAATATGCTCAGTGCCCTAAAAGCTAAGAACAATACTAAATAAGTAAAATTGCAAGGGCCATACTACATGTGTTTGTACTCCCTGGATCTCATGCTGCTTTGTAAATAATTCTCCTCACTAGATAACTTTGTTTGCCCTAACTAGACTGAAAGTTCCTGGAGTCATCAACCAGGTATATTTCTTTTGGAGCCCACAAATTGCCCACCATACTGAATGCATAGTGTAGGCTCAAGAAACACTGTTGACCAACTAAGTACTAAGTAATTACTTTTCCCCTCACTATGCTTCAGGAATGCTTATTAGTCACAAAAACCATGAAGTCTTGGAAGCCAAGAGGAAGTAAGTATCCATCTGTTGGTATACATTTTCCGTTGGCTATGCATTATACAGACGTTTCCTTTGGAAATGTAAACAAAGGATGCCTGATGAGCCAAGACAAAGAAAAGCTATATATAGTGATCAAGTGGCTACAGCAGCAAGGTCAAAGCGTTCCCTTCCTTAACCTGACTAGGGGGAGTCTTGGGGTTGCCCCTACCTCCTTCCCATGCTCTCCAGTCCTGACAGAAAACATTTTCCAGCTGCCATCTACTGAATTCTGAAAACTGGGCAACAACTAAAACAATCTACCTCACCACCGAATTCAGTTATGGAATTCGTGGTGATCTTAATCTCTGTTTCTGCAATAATAGGAAGACTGCAGCTTTGTTTACTTTGTGAGGAGAATAGAGAACAAGGAGAAGGGACTAGCATAGGGAGGCGGTATTTACCGTCCCTTTATGAAAAGCCAATCTGTGACAAAAACATTTGCAGACAATAAGGAAGGGGAACAGGTTTGGCAGGAAAATAGTCTATTCCAGTTTTCTCAGAAGTGCCTTAGCCCCGCATCCTCCACACACACACAAACACACACACACACTGCCCAATGCCTGGTTTACATACACTGTGAATATAGTCATTCCCTATACACAAATCTGGGTTAGATAAAAATGAAAAAATTCCAAATCATCCTTCAGTGTCTGGTTCTCACGACTGCCAGTCTCCTACTCTTTATTCATTTTATAAAGTATTTATGAAATCTCAGTCTCTTCATTAACTACATTTCTAATCCTGAGGCTCATCCTAAAGGCTTTTGGACACACAGGCTTTGTGTCGAATGAGTATAATAAAGTAGCCTGGAATCACCTGATTATTAAGAGGAAGTTAAGGGCACATTCCTAACCTTTCAGAAGGGATGATGTCATGGGGGACAGCCATGGTCTTCCATAAAGTATCCTGTAGAATTCCTGTCAAAGAATCCTAAACTGATAGCTCATTATTCTTTCCCAGTTTTTAGTTAATGTTTTTATTCCATTGTCTGTATTTCCTGTACATGTACAACCACACCAGGGTGGATTTGGGGGTAGATACTGTGTCTATGCTGTTTTCTTTGCACCTGGGATAATGCCAGACATAAAGAGGTATCGGTAAAAGTTTACCTTCTGTGTAACTAGAGCAGACAGTAGCCTAAATGCACCCCTACGGGTGATTCTTAAGTATCTACTTAGCTGGTTCATCATGAGGCTATTCTTTCTTCCTGCTTTACTTACATATGGCAGCACTAGTGTCACCTTATTTAAGACTCAGCCAGGAACACTAAACTTCAGAAAGGCACTGTTAAAACACTGCCAGTTACCTAAAAGGCCATAGTTTGAGTCCTCCTCTATGAACACAATGATGGATTGTTTTAGGAAACTTGCTCCTTCCACTTTTTGAAAAGAGCAGGGCTCTGAATATAAATGCTTGATTGGCAGGATAGGCTGGGAAAGGTTAGAACAGGGTATGATTGGGTGAGGCTGGTAAGGGTGATAAGCTCCTCAGGGAAGGAGAGATGAGACATTTTAAGGGTCCTACAGTGAATGAGCAATTAAAATAAACTGCTTTGCTACTGTGACTACAACTTGTTGCTCTGTACTTAATAATCATTTTGATGAGAATGAGGAAGGTGATGATTACCATTTCTAGCTACATTTTATTCACTATTAGCTGTTACCCCACCTTCAATCATGCAAATTCTAAACCCAGGGATCCATTATCTTGTCTCCTGCTTACAATACTCCCTTGTCCCTTCACCAGTGTGGATTTCTTTCACTGTAATCTAACAGCATAATCAGAAACTCTAACAGAGTGCAGCATAGAGGGATTCTGATTAGCTGAAAACCACTCTGAAATATTTTCTATGTTGTTTCTCTCCACCTTGGAAAGGATGGGATAGGAGAGAAAATGGACAGAATAAAGAAAGTAACCATTCACAGAATCAGGAACTATGAAATCTGGAAAAAAGCTGAAGGTCATGTGCTCAGTTCAACTCCTCATTTCATAGGTAAGGACACTGAAGCTGAGAGGCTAAATGAATTATTCATATCCAGACTACCAGTTAACAGAAAAGCCAAGTCTAGATCAAAGTTTTGATCTAGAACACATTCCAGCGTTCTTTCTTTTCATTCCTCAGGCTTCTGCCCAAACCCTATACCTCATTCTCCAATCTCACACCTGAGTTTAACCAATATCTTATATACCCTACATATAGCACCACTCTCTTCCATAAATGGAGTGTTCAACAGGAATTACATGTCTATGGTATATTCATCATATAAATACACTATACTTGAAGAATCCCAGTATTTTAAGAAATCCAGATGAATAGAGGGTGGAGGGTTACTCATATAGTAAGAGGATTCTTTGCCTTACAAGATCCTCCATAGTCTCTTAAATAGGAATCCTCAGGTAAGATTAAGATATGAGATTTTCATAAAATTATTTTATTACTTAAAATAAAATGATTTTTTTTTTTTTTTTTTGCGACAGTGTCTCACTGTGTTGCCCTGGGTAGAGTGCTGTGGTGTCACATCTCACAGCAACCTCAAACTCTTGGGCTTAAGTGATTCTCTTGCCTCAGCCTCCCGAGCTGGGACTACAGGCACCCACCATGACACCTGGCTATTTTTTTGTTGCAGTTGTCATTGTTGTCCAGCAGGCCTGGGCGAGGTTCGAACCTGCCTGCCTCGTGTATGTGGCCAGCCCCCTAACCACTGAGCAACGGGTGCCAAGCCAGAAATAAAACGAACTTTGAAATGTTACATTTATATGTTATACAAGTAAGATCATTTTATCAGGCTCTAAATAGAATTGAAACATTTTTATCCAACCACCACCACCGGTATCCTATAGTATTATACCCAACTTGTTTACACCTGAAGCTCTGCCATCAGCCCTTCAACAAAATCAACACAAAACCAAATGCTACCTACTGCTAGTTTCGTGGTCTTGAGAAAGAAAGATCGGTAACATCTTTTATTGTGTCCACCTATTGTAAGCTCTGCTCTAAGATTTGATGTACATTAAGAATTTTTTAAAGTCTCACACTCATACAGCACTTTACAATTCACAGACAACTTCGAGACAGATACCATTTGCTGATGACAAGAGTAAGTGGAAAGGTGATGAGTGAGGACCAGGTGGGGTGCATGGTATAAACAGGACCACAGGCAGGGGAGGAAGGGAGGAAAAGCCAGTAAGAGGAGAAACAGTCCTGATAGTGACCTTAAAAACAATATTGCACTGAATGAAACTCACCCAAGGATTCCCAACTTCCCTATGACACCCCAGTAATCTCTTTAAGGAGTGATAATGTCCAGTTTCATGAAGGAAGAAGCATCCTTTCTGTCTGATTCATACACTGCCTACTGTTTGAAAAGGAGAAAGAATTGTCCCTTGGACTGTTGTCCCCCCAATCCGTCAGCACAACCTAATTTTTTAAACCATAGATATCAGTCACTTTTTTTTTTTTTGGAACAAGTATTTTAAAGGAATAAGACTTCCTAGAACTATCATTCAGTCTTTCTCTCTAAATGACTGAGCTACACTCTGACAAAAGTGAAATCCCCTAAAGGATCGATGATCCCAGTCCTCTGAAAGAATAACAAGTGTTTCTGTTACGTACCTCAACCTGCTGGCAGATCTGTATTAGTTTGGCCATTTGATTTTCTAGTTCGCTGTTGCGCTTAACCAGGTTGGTGAGGTTCATCTCCAGGGTTTGCTGTCATCGCAGAGAGCATGATGTCAGAGACAATAGGGAAGAGGAGAAAAAAGAACAATAAACTCAAGAATCTATGTCATGTGAACATTAGTCAGTCAATAAACAAATAGTTCAAAGATTCATTTAGCATGTGCTATGAGCCAAGCACTATTCTAAGCGCTAATAATACTGCTGTACACATTTGCTTATTATGAGGATACAAATGACATTCATAACTTTGTGAATGTAGGAATTTATTGACATTAAAGCAATCTTATGTTTTCAATATTTTTTTCCTTTTCAAAGTATTTCATAGGCAATTTCATTTGTCCCTCATAGTAATCCATGTGTATTTATCTCTTTTACAGATGAATAGACTAAGAAAACTATTCAGATAGTCCTTGACTTACAGGGCAGTTATATCCCAATAAACCTGAAAGCACATTTTCAGCTTAAGATATTTGCAACTTACAACTTACAATTTTCAACTTACAATCCGTCATAAGTCAAGAATGTAACTCCATCATGAGTGAAGGAGCACCCTGAATGTACATCACATTTGCACTATAACAAAGTTGAAAAACCATACATAAGTTGAACCATCATAAGTCAGGAACCGTAATAATTACTGAAAGTTTGCCAGACACTACACCAGGCAATTTCATATACACCACTTAAAAATCATAACTGCCTCACAAAGTAGGAGATGTCAGCATTTTACTGAGAACAGAATCAAGTTCAGAGTGAAGTTAATGTGTTTTGCATAACCATATAATTAGTAGGTGACAAAGCTGGGACCAGAACCTCAGGCCAGAGCTTTGCCCCAGTGTCCATGATTTTTTTTTTTTTTTTTTGTCTTTTTGTTTGTAACATATTTATCAGCAGGGTCCTTTAGGAAAAAAAAAAAAAAAAAAAAAGTAGACCAGGCATGGTGGCTCACACCTGTAGTCCTAGCACTGTGGCAGGCCAAGGGAGGTGGACTGCCTGAGCTCAGAGGTTCAAGATCATCCTGAGCCAGAGTAAGACCCCCATCTCTACCGAAAAAAGTCGGGCATTGTGGCAGGTGCCTGTTGTCCCAGCTACTTGGGAGGCAAAGGGAAAGAGAATCACTAAAGGAAGAAAAGAAAAAAAAAATTTAAAAACCTCAAAAACTTCAAGATGAGTGAAAGCCAGTTGAAATTGAAAGCAAAATTAAAACAAGAAAAAGAAAGAAAAAAGAGAGGCAATATTTTGAGTTTGGCTTTCATCAAAATCTAGCATTGTATCTCACGGCTTTCCTTGTTTGCCACTGTGGCATTGCCCAAAGGTGTCAGACTTCAAAACACAAAGCCTGACTGTGTCAAGGGAGGACATCCATTGCTTACTATTGCTTACTGGTACACAGACTCTTTTAGGTACATATTAGGAGCACATTGCGCATCTGCTGAATATAACATTATTTCATCCTAGATTGATTATGGGTTTTGACTCCTCCCCATTCTCAAGTCTTTAGTTCTAGTAGCTGCCTCTCCTCCAGGACCCGACCCAATTATCTACTCCTTTCTCAATCGCCATCCTAATATCCCATAAAGTTTGTTCCAAATGTAATACCCCCCCGCCCCTCATCTCTGCCCTTATTCTAATAGCATTCCTTCCCTTAGTCATGTTCGTTGTTTCATTGCCGTCTCCATGGTTCCTATGGTTTGTAGTTCAAAGTTCATGCTTTTGAAAAAGTGAATTGGGGGAGCAGAAGGGAGAGGGGAGACACAGAGGAAGAGAGGGGACTTGTGTATTCAGCTCTTGTCTTGTCTGCTAAGTAGCTGTGGCTCCTTCATATCCTTCGCACTGTTCCCATAAATATATCCCAGAGGATATATTCACATAGATAGATGTGTTTCTAGGCAGGGTAGATGGATTTCACTTGTTCTCTAGCTAGATTATCAGGACAAGCTTAACCCTTACCTCCATTCTTGCCAGATCTCTTTCAATGTCTTTGGCTTTATTTCCACAAAATGATCTTTCACAATTTATTCAATTGTTTTTGGCTTGGGGGCACAATGTCTTCCCTGATCTTCTTTAATTCCACGGCTATCTGGATTTTTGGCCTTCCTTTTTTTTTTTTTTTTTTTTTTGGCCGAGGCTAGGTTTGAACCTGCCACCTCCAGCATATGGGGCCAGTGCCCTACTCCTTTGAGCCACAAGCATGGCCCAATTTCTGGCCTTAGCAAGGACAAGAGGAAGAAAGAAGGAAAAAGGAGGTGCAGCAATCATTGATTTGGGCATGATGTCTAAGCTAAACTGATGTCAGGGGAAACGAGAAAAAAGAAATGGTAGTTCAGGGATTTAATACCAAAATATATTGAGTACCTACTCTCTTCAAGGTGTAGTGACTTCACAGATGAAGAGGGGGTAAAATTAAGATGAGTCTTGAAAGATAAATAAAATTTAATGGATAGAGATGGAGGGAGGCAGGGTGTTCCAGGTACAAGGAAAGAAAATAAGCAAAAGTAAAAAGAAATAATGTCTATGGCATGTTCAAGAACAGTAGTTTAGTTTGGCTAGAATGGAAGGTACAAAAAGAGTGGTGGAGGACAGGGCTGGAAACGGAGATTGAGGCCCCATTATGAAGGTCTTGAATGCCTAGGTGAGGAGTAAGTCTATGCCCTTTTTTTTTTTTTTTGAGCATTGGGGGTTTACCAAAGGCTGCTGAGCAATGTAATGGCATAATCAGGGCTGCATTTAGGGGATTAATCTCACAGCAATATGCGAAGCAGACAGAAACAGGAAACCATGAAGAACAGGGACACTGGTTAGGAGGCTGCAGTTGGTAATATTCAAGGCAGTTGGTAATGCAAGTCTGGGCCAAGCTAAGAGGATAATTGAAATAAATGTGTTTCAAGAAAGGATTTGTCACTGCCAAATATACAGAGATTACAAGAAACATGAGGATTGATAAAAGGCAGCTGGATTTGATAATTAGAGGTCACAGATGACCTTTGAAAAAGGACTTTAGTAGGATTTTGGAAGCAGATGCTAAATCACACAGGGTTAAATAGTATGTTGGTAGCCATAAAGTAGAGGCTGCCAAGACTCAACTCCTCTTCAAGTTTGGCCATAAGGTGAACATGATAGAGCTATAGTTTGATAAAAGAGTCTAGCTTAAGCCAGAGAGTGGGAATTGGTAATAGACCCAATTAGTTGATGAGTTCCTCTGTCAGAGTAGTACAAATTCCTAGATCAATGGAAATTCCATATATCACAAATGAACATATTGATATATTAGGTCAGTATAATGTAGATAGATGAGCCCAGAGATGGTAATAATATCAGAAATCTATGTTTCCAACTATAATGCATTTCTATTCAAACATGGGATTCCACAGGGAGAATGTTTTTATCAAGTACATGTGACCTGTTGCAAAACTAGTCATGAAACTAATATCTCATAAATAATTCACAGTGCAGAGCAGGACTAAAATCCCTGCTGAGTGTTCCTCATTTATGGCCCAGAACTGAGACTCATGGCTTCTATAAAGCCACTGAAAACAAAGATTAGGGCTGAACACATAATTTTGGGTCTGGTTGGGTTACCGTCACAGAATTATGGCAAATGGTTAGTTTGCTCTGGCCCCTTAGCAATTCACAAAATGCCAGCACATTTTAACAACACAGAACCAGAACTGACAAGATGACTCTAATTTCAACTTTACTTCATTAATATGAAAATGCTTTGAAAAATAAATCTTTGGCTAATGAAAACACCATCTGTTGATGGCTTTTTGCCACTGTTTTCTTACATTACGAGACATAATTTGAGGAAAACACCGAACGTTTACTTACTCACTTCCTATTCATTTACAAGAAATTAAAGCCTACTCTCAAATTGGAAATGATTCTCAATAATGAACATATGCAAAGAGAAGCAGAGAATTGAAGCAATTATGCAGTCTGAGGAAGTCAACCTTCCTTATCATGCTTAGTACTGATGAACCATTTAGAACTAAAAATTCTGGGCCACTCTAAGTTTGAATGATTTGATTGATTTGGCCAAGTAATTACCTTGTCTATACTCTAGCTGAATAACAAAGAGGATATGTGTGTGCATGGGTGTGTGTGCATAAAATCTCTTTATGTAAAAGTAAACATGTCTCTGTTGTTGTTATTTGATTTTGAAAAATTGGTTTGTTTTGCTCTTCTTTTGTGCAGCCCAGTTAATGACTGGGCCAAGTTCCCTCTGTCTAAGCCCAGTTAGTGTGACGTTCTGAGAACTGTTGAAATGTGACAGCAAGAGAGCCAAAGTGGCAGGGGAGATTGGAATAGAGATATCTGCTGGGAGGAAACAGGGACAGGAGGTTGACAGGGGGAGCAGGATGAAGCTCCCATTTCCTGCTGCAGGAGGTTACCTCTGGGTCCTTCTGTGCTTCCCCACTGTGAGGGTTAAAGAAGCCATTTTAGTTTATGAAACAAACTCTAAGACTCTCTTCACCTCCAGACAAAATTGTACATGTGTCTAAACGGCACAAAGCGAGAAGATTTGGCTAGCTTGCATAACAGATTTTAAAAGGCCTAAGTTAGCTAAATTGGCAGTCTACACTGATTCCATTTTTACCCAAGTTCCACTTCATTTGTATCGTACAGACTTGGCCTCTTTGTGCTGTGTTATTCCCTTCCCAAAAAGGAAAATGTTTTGCCATCCGAGAAAACTGGACACAGACTATTCTCCTTCCAGACAGCATCCCATTAAAAGAAATAGTTTCTCTAATCCTCTCAAATAATTGCTGGAGTTCTTTCACTTTTCTAGCCACAGATTATTTCAGGTAGCTTTTTCATTGGCTCCCTCAAGAAATCTAGCCACACATCAAAACACCATCTCTTCATTTAGGTGAAGGCAGATGACCCTTATGGGGCAAACTGGACCATCACCTGCATTTGTCACTCTTCATGCAGTCACATGTATTCACACATGTATAGCACACCTATATACACCCATCTGACGCAGTAAATGCTAAAGTCAAGGGGTGAAGTTTTTGTTTGTTAATTCC